CAAGTTATTGATTTTTAGGGCTTCATTTCCAACCCTAAAGTGGCAGCATTCTTGAAATCCATGCAACTATATGTGTCTTTGGCAAAGAACCAGCCAGCCATAGCGACACACTGTTCAAGCATTACATTTTCACCACTGCTCCAAGGGCCAGGAAATGATGTGTGCCTGTGGGTACATATAGCATAGATGCCACTCAACCATAGTCCACCTCTCCAATTATTTTTTATTGAACAGGTTTGTTGTTTTTTTTTTTTTCAACTATTGAGATGCCAGGATAGTAAGAAGAATGCTGGTGCCTCAGTGGGGACATGAGAAAAAAGTAATTTAGTACTATAATTTTATGTCAATCCCAAAGTTATTTATTCAGATTGAGGGGCTTGAGAGGAAGATTAAGTATCTGGCAAAAAAAATAACACAACCCAGCTGGTTGTGACAAGACAAGCTGGTCTTGTCTGTGCTACAATACTAATTTCCACATTAACTTTGCTTCAATATAAGAAAATGTTGGAAATTTTGCCTGTGAATATTTGTTCATGAGGGATTTTATACCATAGTGACTGCATCCATGACTGATCCAAAAAATTGCCTTAATTTCTATAAACTTGTAATGAAAGTGCAAGAGTTCATTCATACAACTAATTGGTGGAAAATTTTGCAATATACTATTAGAGGAAGATTTCAATGTTCACATATATTATAAAGCTCTCAGAGAACATAAAATAGTAAAGCAGAAACTATGCATAGGAAAAATAAGGTCAAGAACTCATATCCCATCCTGAAATGTATTCCTAAAGGAATAGCTTAAGTGCTGTATGAAACTGAACTACATACTTCCCTTTTCTTTTAACCCTCTGAAAACAATGGAATATGAGAAGAGAAGGAATTAGTGGCAAAGTGTGTAGTACAAAGTTAAATAAAAGAAACAAAGTGAAGAGAATAGATAACAGTTGAACTTTTGTGGAACTTGGAGCTCTAATGTAATTTTCTTAATTTAGTTTTCTTGTTCATTTAAATCCTCTTATTTCCAGGAAACTATTGAAAATTATTTGATTTCACATTTTTCCAACCAGCCTTTCACTCACAACAACATATTAATGTCTCTAAGGAGGCTTAGTTTTTACGTGAAAAAAAGATTTTTGACCTATATGGATCAATAGAGAAAGTCTCAATTTGTACAAAAATTACATAAACATATCAAACAAGGTCTTCTACCTTCTTGATACTTAGACACAGATTATTACTATTATTTATCAGCCTCATGTAAGAAGCAGCTGAATTTCCTATGCAGTACTCAAGAGATGGGAAAAAATAATATGTATAAAATGAATACATAAAGAGTGTCTCAGAGGTATTAATGGGAGTAGAAACAAAAAGCTAGCAGAAGAGGACATTTTACAGAAGTTTTTAGAAGCCACCAGTAGTGAAGCAAACTGTTCTGTCATTAGGGTGTACAGACTAAAGGCATGCCTCTAGGGTATTTATTGAATTATGATGATGGTTAACATAATATTAAAAGTGTCACTTGGTCTCTTCTGCTTTTAGAAGAACTTTTCTGCCAAAAATGTTGAAGCACCAGAATCGAGTTTGGACAAAAAACCAGGAGCTGTACTGGCTCATCATGGGAAGAAGCAGTGAGTTACACCAACTATTCTCTTCTAGCAAATCTCTTAATGTATGCTTAGCGCATCTGTTTGGTTTTAGGGCATGACTTTTTTTGTCTTCTAAGTACAAGAGCTGTCTGCAAACCTCTTAAAATACTTTTCATAATGGTCCCATCACACTGTGAATTATGCAAATATTTTCTCCTTCTCCAGTTCTAGAACCTGTGCCGTTGTTTCAATCAGATGTTTACCTTTCCATACGGGGGGAAAACATTAAGGAAAGCTGAAGTCATATCTCAAGTTCTTGTTCTCCCACTGTCACTCATAATATTATGTACAAATCAAAGCAAAGTGGACTTTGAGACTGGAAACTCCCATATATAATTTGCTTATTAAGACTGAAAGTCAGACATTCAGAAATTATCTCCAGTTCAAAGCTCCCTTATTTTATAATGCTTGCAACATTTCTTCATTACTTATAAGGAAATCAACTGAAGAACAGCTATGTAAAATTGGAAGCCATAATCTTTTGATGGAAAATCAGAGCCCAGTAGTCTGTCTTCCATAAGGAACAGTAATCTCAGTCCATTCAATCTGAAGATTTACAACAACAAAAGTGGATTAACAGTATTCTAACTCTAGAAATTACCTCTCAATTTCACTTAATTAGAGTCTGAATTCAATATACAATTTCATGTTGAGCAAGCAAAAATAAGCTAACAAATATGCAGCCTGTCAGTTCCAGTGAACCCAGGCTGCGGAGAGCTGACAGCATATAGTCTCTCATACAGCTATGAAAATTACAGATTGCAGCATGAAAGATTACATATTGTTAAGCAGTGTCAAACCACATTGGCAGTTCTCACATGTCAAATGTGTAATTACATAAGGATTATTGCTAGAAAAGCACAAGATCTGGGTGATTTGAGCTGAGTGCCAACTCAGCCATTCATTTGAAAACACTTAGGGTATATATGTAGTTTGGATTAAATAACCGCTGAGTTTCAATGAATTTGATTTTTCTTCGGCTGATTCTTGCAATGTTACACTGATGCCATATTGCCATCTCTAAAGGAAACTCCTCCAACCTGAAAGCATCATCGTGTGAATATCTGAGTTTGAAGGCATTCATACACAGGAGCTCACTGATTCTGAGGTGTTACACCAGCACCTGTACACCAGCATGAAACAAAACAGCCCTTACTTCAGATTTTCTTGCCTTTGTCAGTACAAAGCAGAGTTCACATTCTATTATTTTGAATAGGATGCTCACATTTGTGATTTTCAGTGGTGCTATGAAAGACTATTACCCACATTTAACTACCACAGATATGGCAAAATAATACAGGGTGGAGAAATGAAAAAGAACTTTGTAGAGAGATGCAATTGGACCAGCTGGGGATCAGGAAGAGAAATGAAACCTGTCAAAAGGCTAAATTTACTAAAAATGGCCGAGCTGGCAGGCAGATCTCACTGCCAACTGCCCTGGTATATTTCTGGTCCTGTGACTAAATGTGAATTTACAAGGGCCTGTGAATAGGTGACCTCTAGCTGAATTTTAAGAGCCACTTGCTACAAGCAGAAGTTACTAGCTCTTTATTCAATTTAAAAACTTGTGAATGTTATCCCAAACACTTTGTTGTAAGTACATAAATTATAGATTTTGCTTTTAGGGCAAATAAATGTCTATTTCTTCACTGGACAAACATCATTACATCTCTCAGGACTTTAAAATAGTGAAGCAGAACTCAAATCTTCACAGGTGTTATCAAAAGAAAAAAAAATGGAAAATCAGAACCCAAACAACAAGTAGATATTTTCTTGGAAAAATTTTCATTTTCTCCAACCAGGATTTTCAAAGCTATTAGGCAGGGCCAGAAGCTGAATCCAAGTTAACATCAGAAATTTTAGATCAGAGTCTCTTCCTTGGAGACTGGTATCTTGGAAGTGCAGACAATGGACTGCCATCATCTGCCTTCTCCTGCTACTGTCTTCACTCCAGGATGTCTCATCAAGAGCAGTGGCAGGTACTACACAAACCAAGGGAATCAGTTTCTATCTCCAAAACAGACTCACTTTGTGGGCATGCCAAGAGAGGTCGCTTCTTTCTTTTTTCAAGATGTATCTGGCAACAATTCTCACTTCAAAGCCAGCTTTCTGGGAAGGCAGGTTACAATTTTCCCTGAACTCCCCTGATGATGTGAATTTGTTTCCCACTGTATTAGTGAGCACTCCCAGCAAAGCACAGTTTCTCAGCTGCACTCCCTGGCAGTGGTGTGGGACAGAGTCTGAACGAAGATTGCCAAGAGCTTGGCTCAGTCACTCCCAAAGTGTCGAGTACCATCTGTGATGGGCATATTCCCTAGGGAATATATCCCCTCTTTCAGCTGCTGTCCCAAATTAGCAGGATCTGCCATAGTCTGATATATCCTGTGCAATATCTGTCAACTACATAAGGCTGTGAATATATTAGGGAGCCCCATAGTGTGTAGGAAAATTAATTATACCCAAATTGATCGTTGGCATCCAGTATTGTCAAGATATCTCACGAAATCATCCTATTTTCCAAAAATCATGGAACCAGATTTACCCCTTTACAGCTTGCTTTCATTAGAAGAGCTCATTGAAATGTAAGTAGAACTTCTCTCCCTAGTTGAATTTTGTTATTAGAAAGATATTGTCTGTATTGACAGGGCAGCCTTATCTCAGACCTGTTTTCCTATGATGAGGGTTCCTAGCAGCTATTACTTGGGGTTTTCAGGGTGATATGTCAGACCCAGTGTTTGAACACCCCTGCACAAAGGGCACATATCCCTTACCAGCTTGCAGTAATTTTAGCAATGTTTTTAAGTCATGCATAAAACATAATGAGTACCACTAGATTCCTATTTTTCCATAACATTGATAAGAGTTTTACAAATATTTGGCATTTCATATTGGTTAACTCAATTAAATTCATTTTTTGGTATGTGCTAGAGTGGATAGAAGTCCATATATTCATGCTTATAGGGTTATTTGACTAAACAAGGTCTAATATTTTCTGCATCTTACTTGAGATCTCCTTTGCTGTAAAAAGAAGTGTTTTTGCTATATTGCATGTTTGGTCTAAGCTCACAGAAGGGAAGCATGAGATGCTTCAGAGAGAATTTAGATTTAACCTAATAGGAAACCAAACAGTAAGACTTAACAGAAATTATCTGGTATTTCTCATCTTTTTTTTTCCAGGACTATGATGTGCTTCAGTGAGTAGCTATACACAGCCCACAAAGAGGAAAAAACAAAAAAAAATCACTCTAAGGCTTCTTTGGAACTCATAGCAGATAGCATTTGTTGCCATTACGTTACAAAGGTTCGATTGTCATTATATTGCAAAGGTTCTGTATTGCTAGAGTTTCATACCTCCTTGATGTTTCTTATTGGCATCTCCTCTATGCACTGACTCTTCCTTCTTCTCACAGTAGCCAACCAACTCTAGTAGCCCCTCAACCAACCAATCCACTCTTTTATAACGCTTTTCTTCTTATTGGCTGCAGCTGTGGCCTGTTAAAGTCAGGCCTGTTCCCAATCTCTAGTAATTGGCTCAGCTGCAACTCCTTAAGGGGTAAAATTACTTTCTATACTACCTTTATTTTCTTATATTTGATCCCCCAACAGGCATTGTCTTAAATGAAAAGTGGAGAAGGTGTAACCATGTGCCTGGCAGATGGGCAGAAGCTCAGGGAGGAAACAGCAGATACCGACGGAGCAGACCCACAACATGTGAGGCCAGTGCTGTGCGTGGTCCTCTCGTGCTGCCCCTTTTGCCACCAGACTCTTTTGCCTTTCTCTCTGGCTGATCCCCTGCTGGGTGCACCAAGCCACAGTGACCTCATGGACACCTGTGTGCCCAGGGCAAGGGACGTGCCTTGGGCATGGTGTCATTCCAGTGACACCACAGTAGTCCTTCCTCCAGGCAGGAGCTTCCCTTCTAGTACATCCTCAAATTAGTAAATCCTCAGCCTAAAGAATTTATGACAAATTACCTGGCACTTTTGCACCCTTGATTTGCCAGAAACATGCCTTAAATGACAATATTTTATATGATTCTTTGTAGAGGCCATTTCAAACAAGCTTGCAAATGGTTACTTGTCTCAGGATCATAGTTTAGGAATCACTGCCTTAATATTGAAATTCTTTGGTAAACATTGCTAATAAATAACATGGTTATGTTCCCATGATGAACAGTCAAACTACTGCTCTGTTCAGTCTACTCATCAGCCACATTCCTCTTTTTTCCACTGCTCTGAGTATGAGCCACTTTTAGCAGAGGATTTCTTACTCAGTATTTATAGCTCATATAAACCCCCTATTGTTCCTCTACACATGATAAAAATATTTAAGGATTGGCAATTACATACAATTTAATGGGTATCCTCAACAGCCATTGTGATTTGATAGAGAAAATAATTGTCCTGTACTTCTAGCCCAAGCTTGCCTGACTTTTACAAAGATCAGCTCACATTACCTCGTGATTCCACAAGCTTCTGTAAGTCCTTGATGGAACTTTCTTTAATAAGGACCCTTTCCAAACTCAGCACTTCTTTTCAAAAGCTTTAGAGTTGACAGACTTCAAGAAGTCAAGAACAAATATAACAAACATAGCAAAATTCCAGCTGCAGGCTGTAATAAAGAATTAAGGAAATACAACAACTACTGACTCCCATAAAATTAGCTCAAGTCTTCACATATTCACGTATTTCCAATCTTGCTATAAAAAAAACAAAGGCTGATTATTAGTTTCTATATCTATGTTTATTTTCTGAATTTTAAACATAGAGTTCTGCCACCAAACTGAAGTAACAGTTAAATAAAAACAAACAAAAAATTAACCTTTTAAAAATTATTTGCATAGTTTGTGATTTTCAGATTCACCAAGGTGTCTGGGGATAAGTTTTCATCTTGACCCTCACAAAACAGTTTCTGTAAGTTTATAGGCTCAGGAATTTTTGTGAGTGTCCAGATATCTCAGAGCATCAGATTTATAAAACCTTAAAGGGAAACAACATTCATATAAAGCTGCTTTGTTCTGTTGGAAAAATAAAAAAGCTTCTAATGAGTGTCTTATGTGCAACAACCAATACAGCTTAATATTTGCAAATTGGAACTGCTGAAAGTTCATTTAATATTAATGTCATTTTGATGTCTGCTTATTAATTTACTAGTTGCTTTCAAATTCTGTTACTTGTCCCTTGTGTGCTTTGTAGCGTACATAGTTACTTTCTGTTCATAAATAACAAATGCATGCGTGTTCTGCAGGGATGTGGGACCCTCATGGAAGCAGCTCCGCTATGCATCAGAGAGACAGGAGAACTTGCAGAGAGTAGTTCATATCACTGACTTTAAACCTCTGTGTCCAAGATAGGGTGTAGGGACCTTTGGGAATAGTTTTTTCCAGTTACTTACGGAGTATATTTAAATGTGTGGTTCAGACTATTTTTATTGACCAAAAGTGTAAATGATAGGGGTTTCCAGATATTCAGTGTTCCTGACCTTTTTTTGCCTTGAATATTTGTTGGGTTTTCCCACAAGCTTGTTAGCAAACCCTCCACAAACAATGTGTATCTCAGCTAAAGAATTTTACAGTCTTACTAGAGTACAGATTTCTTCACAAATTATTTTTTCTAAATCTGTTCCAGTACACAAATAACAATTAATACAGTCTTTACTTGCTTTGGTATTCCCAGTACAGCACAAGAAACTTTGAATTACATCTCTATGAAACCAATGTTACTTTGATAAACGAAGTATTTTCTCATTAGCAAAAAGTACCCATGCATATGATAAAATCTCCAGCAGGGTTAGCAGCTGTTTATTAATGGCTGTTGGCTTGTTGATACAGACATTTATGTTTAAACATGAGCCAACACATTACTGCAATGGGTATATCTGCTCCTGTGTTTTCCATTTCACCCAGGCATATCAGATCATATTCCTGTTTCTTTTAGCATTTGAGTCATTGCAGACTGGGAGCTAGTCCTATTAAACTCAAGCAGCCACACCAGTGTAACACTAGATAAAAATGAGAAAACAGACAAAGCCCATATTTTTAATGCACAAGCATTTGCCATACATTATGGGTGCTTTATGCTTTTCCTGTTCATTTTCTACTTATATTTTCTGAGATCTGATACACTAAAGTATTCAAAATTATACTGATGAATTATTCAACAACTCTCTTAACTATGATTTATCTGAAAGCAGAAAGAATTCATCACCAGCAGAGCTAAAATAAACACTCTCTTATGACTCTAAGATTAAATTACTGATATAAACAGAATCTGAAATTCCTTCATACAGTGCTCTACATGAACATCAGCAGAGAAAGGAATATTTTCTTGTGGGGGCTGCAAGAGTGCAGAGACCATTTCTTAGCAAAGATAATACTTCTTTCACAAGGGTAGCAGAAGAGCTATGTATCTAAATATTTCCTCCAGTTGTATTTCTCACAATAAATGGTGACACAAATGGGAATTTACAGGTAGAGCTAAAGGTTTCATATAAAGCAGTTAATAAAAAGGGCAGTTTACCAAGGTTCTCTTGATGCCAGTTTTCAGCAATGAGTAAAATCTGTAGTATACAAGAGTTATATATTTTTTTATTTAACTTTACCTGGTGTGCTTTTAATTGGCCCCTGAGGAACAAGTTACAACCAGTGAATCCAGTCATCCCCTGGGTCCTGTAACCAGGGGTACACAGTTCAGCTTTAGTTCTGTGCTTCATAATTAGGCATCCATGATGAAAACACACACGAGATTGAAACACAGGATTCCATTGTGCTTTCACTTATTTGCAAACCCGAAAAGTTTATTTTTAAGCTCAGCATTGTATAGAGGGTCTTTTCTTTCCCTCCTGTCACATGAAATGCCAGAGAGGGATGGGTTTTCTGGAAAGCCTTTTTTTGTTAAATGTGAGCAGCGAAGAAATTAAATCCCAGGCCAAACATTTTAAGATTTGAAAAAGGACAAAAATTATAGAAGGCCAAAAACAAATCAAAATTCTTTTTCTGCGTTAGGGGTTTTGAAGAAATTAGTGTAATTCTACTGACTTCACACATATGATAGCATAATAAAGTGTAGGACTGGTGGATTTACAGAGCGTTGCACTGGGTTAGTGCTCTTCTTTATGTTTTTGTAGATTTTCCTGTCTGTTTCAAGAAGTTCTCACAGCTCCACATATATCTATCAGATCGAGGTCTGACTTTCAGGCATGTGAGGTGTTTAAATCCAAGGCCTGAATTAAGTCAAACATCTAGTGACTGGTGAAAAGTTATTATCATTAAATATAAACTTGTTGTCTTTTTTCAAAAAGTATTTTTTTCTCAGTTATCTTTCCAAAGTTTTCATAATATTAGTCGAAGTTTGATTTATCAAAACACAGCTGCTGGTGGAAAAGACAAATACGTATTTTTAGTGTCATTTGAAAATATTAGAACTTTAAAAGCAACTCTCTAGGATGTCATGTTTGGCTACAAGTGGATATTCTCACAAAATACATTTTAAAGTACATTTTTAATCTAAAAAGTTTATATCTCAACTGCTTCATCTCTGCTATAGTCCTCATCTACTTGCTGGAATAACCATATCCACATGACTGTTTTCATCTTGTCTCAACTCTTCTCAAACTCCCTCACCCTATAAATTTGCACAGCCTTTAACAATGGCACTTCTATCTGGGATATTATTTTAGATATGACTGAGATACTCATCATAATAGCAGTAAGAACTGTAAGCCTTTTAAAATCTTGCACAAAATCCTGCTCTTTCAATTTAAGATATTACTCCATTAGCTCTTTCACAACCTTCCTCTGCAGAGCTTAGCCTTGGGACATATGAGAAATACTTGAAGTCATTTGAAGTGTTAGATTGGCACATTTCCTAGAACTGAAAATAAAAAAACTTCAGCTTCTGAAATAAACAAAAAAGAGCAAGCAACACGCTGTGTGTTTTATACATTGTGAAATCCTGGATTTTATGTGACCTTTCTCCTCTTCTGGGTGCACACTGGGGCACAAATTCTCCTTCCTGATGAAGCACAAATTGCTATACAGCTGAGGGTTTCAGAAGCAATGAAAAGAAATTTTTATTATATTAGCTCCTACAACAATATGCCTCCCAAGGAAATATTTTCCTTTAAAGTTATTACTGCAAAATATTAAATGCATGTTTAACTTTATGTTAATTGGTAGTCCCATTGTCTTCAAGTGCAGTTTCTTCAAAATTACAGCTTACATTTCTCTTGTTCCGCACAGATGCTTCTCCTCAGTAGCAGAAGAAGACATCAGGAAAGAAAAATGAAATTTCTCTCTAAATGGATATGTTAAAATGTAATGTCTGAATTGACAGGACCTTCTGTGCTTTAGGATTAAGAAATGGAGAAAGTGTACTTATAAAAGATAACTTCAGCAAAATGTATCCCCAAACTTTGAGTCCTGGTTAGTGCAGAT